AGGAGTGTACCACTCAGACTCATAAGGGTGAGACAATCTGACTTATGGAAAGCGCGAGTGTCCCTATTCACTTTTTTCCACTATATGCCCCCAAAATCGACCTTGACGACTTTCATGCTTGGCTCCTCTCAGATATCGCAAAAATCTTTTTCTCGTCGTTCGGTTGCAAGTCCTTATTTTTCGATAACCCTACGTGTGATAATTCCAAATATCATATAAATTTACGAAAGTATTTGGATCATAAGAAAATTATGAAACATTTAATGAAAGTCTTAAAAACCAGTCTTTGCCTCAAAAGCTAATTAAATTTCAGTTTATATTCATCGCAGATAGATCGATTCGATACAGAATTCTTTTCTCTCTTAGAATTGGTAAGAATGAATATAACATTTATTTACTTGCCTACTAAAATATGGTCAATATCGTCCCAATTTGGTGATATTTTTGAAAAATAACGATTTTTGCTGTCTTATGAAGTTGAATTTCGTTCCTCTATATCAGCAATATTTTATTTTGCGAAAACAAAATTATATATCTATTCTTACTTGCTATATCATTTTACCTTGATATTCGATGACTGAAGATTTACTTTTCTTATAAGTGCTCTTAATCATAACAAATAGAATGCTTTATGCCAATATTTGACGATTTTCGATCAGAAGGGTTCGTCTTTCACCTGTGAATAATATCATATTTCGATTCAGCACAAAAGAGCTTGTTAGCGCAGCTCGTTTGAGGATGAAATTCAGAACCAACGTATGTCGGGCAGGGTGAGGCGTGGGTGTGGACGAAAATCAGCCGCACACCCCACACCCACTCCACCCACACCCCATAGCCACCCACACACTTACACCCACCATCCACACCCACACCCTAGTTTATATTGCACTGTAAATAGTTAATCATGATTAGAACCACACGAATTGGTAAAAATATATCCGTACATTGTGGTTTATATGATACGCATCTTTGTAACTATAGAATAGTTAATCTATGAAAAAATAAAAAAGCTTCTTTCAGATAATTTTGATAATTTCTCATTCCAATTTTTATTTATTGATCCATTTTTGTCATTGCATGCAATGAATTACTGTCAGTCGACACGTTCATGCATAACAGTAGATAATATAGCTGTTGGAGTCAGCGAAGTCGGCGTACAATATAAAGGTACGCCTTTTCACATGATACGTTCGTAAAAACTTATTTTTGTTTGTAGGAAAATCTACAATGATTCACAATTTGTGTTCTGATATTTGGGAACAGATATTTGTATATTTTGAAGCTATGGATTTATTTTCAACGTGTCAATGCATCACAGAAGTTATCGATAATATGTTATTTAATAAAATAGTCATTTACTGTTTCGAGGGCTTATACTCACTGCTTATCTTAAAAATGTTTCAGAACGAATTTCTTTAAACCGTATAAGTTCTCCTACTCTTCACCAACTTGTAAATCTTGAAGCTGCCGAACATTTTCTGAAACTTCAATCATTGAAACTCATTGGTGAAACTGAGTGGATGACATTAACTATCAAAGACATTTCTCGGAAAAACATAAAACTGAAACAACTTACCGTTATTACTTCTGCAATCAAATCTGTGCCACAACTACTAACACCTATCTTATCTATGTCGTCATTGAGGCGATTTGAAATTCATACCGATGAAGTAATAGAAAATGTCGTAGTCTCTACATTAGCTACTATAACAAGTGAAATCGAACAATTTATTTTCGATTCAGGTTCTACGATTGACTGGAATGCATTATTACATGAACTACCACATTTTGGTTGTGTTCACTTTCTTAGGATTGGCTTGCTTGATCGCGCTCAAAAACCTGTATCATCATTCATTTTCCTAAATGTTCGTACTCTCATTCTCGGACTACTTGAAGTATCTTTTAACTGGATTATTCAACTCACAGCAGCAACACAATGTCTCGTAAAAATGAAATTAACGGGCCTCGTAGATGCTGACGACTTTGTTCTTAATCAAAAATGGATTCATCTATTTGACTCCACGCCGACTCTTTTACGGATATTCGTGAATCTATCTTTAGAGCAAAGTAATGAATCGTATCACTGTGAAAAAATCCAAGCACCACTACTGGCTGTTAATCTCACATTTATATGTAATACCGATCATAGTGACTACAGTCTTTACCATGGAAACGAAAGTAGATGGTGGATCTTGAGTGGTATAGTCGCCAGAAGGTGAAAATACATTCAAAGTGTAACTAGTCGTGCAACTGTGTCTATCTACAATAAGTGTAATCTACATATCACCCATACATTCTCACCCATAGCAAGAGGCAAATCCAAATCATTGTTCATTAATCAACGTCGGTTTTGGTATGCACCCATTATTTCTCTCGCATTTAATCAACAACAGATTAATTAACAACGACAACACGACTATACTTGAATGTTATTCTTCATCCAAAAGACAAATTCGTTTTTTCACTAATTATTGCTTTGTAATATTTGTCATGTGGTTGAAAATATCTCATGATTAATATAAAACATTCAATAAAATGAAAAACATTCATGTAAAAACTGATATTTTATACATTTTGAACACAAGAAAGAGAGTTAATATAGAATTTAATCTTTGTCTCTATCATGACATTTAGATAACCAACAAGGCCAATAAGTTGAATTCTCCATACATTTATTTTAGATTTCAATTTATCGACTAACAACAACTTCTTTGATGTTTATACATAGACTATATGAAAATCTTTTTGTTCGTAAGGAATATGTAAGATATTAGATAAGCTTCTGCTTACCTACGACGCTAAACTAAATTTCATTATTTAGAGCAGTTCTTCGGACTTGCAATGCGGAAAAGTCCATCGTCCTTCAAAAACGCTAGACATGTTAATAAGCAAGTTTTTAAACAATGACGTCGTTACGAAAATTCTGTTTGACAACAGGATTCATGTGCTTTTCTTCATAATCTGTGTACTTCCATTACTCTGCTTTTGGCAGCTGTGTTTCACGCGCCTTTCTAACAGAATTAACAAAAGATCATCGTCACTCAATCATGATACAAAAAACAATGATGTCAAGTCAATTTACAAGTCATGAATCGCTGGTGAGACAAACTAATATTTTGTTATCAGAGAAATTTTCACTTAAACTTTATTTCTACAGTTTAATCTTACATTTTCATTTTAATCTGATTTAGATTAAACATGTTTGATATAAAACTTTATCAATGAACAATCGTAGTTTTTTGCATGTGCTTTACTTATTCTGATCTTTTTAATTCTAATATATACATGAATTTGTATGTTCTTTAGAGTGTCGATTTTTGGTTTATTAACTAACAAGAAACTCCTCTTTCTTTGCACCAATGTTATTCACTGTGTCACACATGTTAAGCGTTTCTGTTTCTTCTGTCTTCCTCCGTTATGTTCGTATTTGTAACTTTCATTAAATACTTCATTCAACCAGCTGAACTTATATTGTTCACTGTGTTCTCTGAATTTTTTGAATTTACGTTCATGTTTTCAAACATAAAAAAAAGAAACAAAATCAAACATTATTCCTACCATATGCTAACACAACCCATTGGTCAACTTTATAGTGCATCAAAGAATAAACTCCTTGTTTGCACCTTTTTCTTTTACTTTTCTTATCCACTATTCTTACATTTCTATGTACTTTAGCTGAGTTGCTGTTTTCCTAGTAACATGTTATAGCACTTGAATTGTATAAGTAAATATGTTATTCATTCTAGATTTACAAAGTACTAAGAAACTCGAGTTTTTTCGTCGCACTAACATGGACTTACTGTCGATCAACACAGAATTCCCAGTGGAAAAATTTTATTTATCTGCAAATAAATCATCGTGTGCTAAAAGCAAAAAGTTATGATGAGTGCTCATCCGTTTAAGATTAAGCTTGAAAGTCGTTACGATCTTCAAAAAGTTCTTTATCGATTTAGAAATTCAAAGCCATCTGATCAAAATACTTAGAAAAGTCAAATTCATTCTCGTACCTAATATCACACTTACTATTTTTCGCTGGTTATTCGTTTAATATTCCAATTTTCGAGTTAGAATAGTATTCTTAGAATGGTTCCATTTAGTCTAAAAATGCGCATCAATCTAGAGATACTAGCTCGATTCACTAGACCCTTCAGAAAGGTCAGAATCCATTATAATAGTTTACATTGCACACCTACACTCACAAATCTCCAGTTCGGACATTTTATTCGCAGTAGTTCATTTTCAAAACAAAAAAAAATTGACAACATTACTCTTTTTTATTTCAAGAATCCAAGATTAAAATGAGTAACCGATGTCTGTTGTGCTCTCAATTAACAACAGCTTCTTACTGCTTGAATTGTCGCAAAACAAATCGTTCTACAATATTTGAGACACTTTTAATGGAACTTGACAAGGCATCCACCGCCGACGCTATTATGATCGAATCAAGGTTGTTTGTGGACAAATCGAGGCCGTAAGTTTTCACTCAAGAGCTTTATATTCGTATGATCTCTTTCGGCAATTTAGATGAACTGGCTTTTAACACCGATACAATTGGTACCCATTACTTATTTCAACCCACTTATTCATAAAGTAGACCAAGAAACCAAATTATATCTTCAACGCGCATGTTTAGACGTTCAAAATATGATTCCGATTGACGTCATTGCAAATGGCAATTGTCTCTATAACTCTATCATATGTTTGACTGGGGATACAGTTTTAACGTCTTGCGAACTGAGAGGTAAGTACTTCCAACTTTACTATCCAGCTATCTTAGTAAAACCTTTCTAGTTCGAACTGTAATAAAACTCGTAAAAAATGAAACTTTCTACAGCAATCACCTTGCATATATTGTTGAACCGCTCAATGTAGTGATTAAAAATGTCACCCATAATTTTTCATTCTCGGAATTTTATGAAATTGCAGCCTTGAGCAATGTCCTTCAATGCAATATACGAATTATATATCCGAAAATTGATTATCGAGTCGATCTAGACATCATGAATACTACTTTTCAGCATATTCAATCTACTATTTCATCTAAAACAATTTATATATTCTGGCCGCCTACTCAAAGTGAAACGGACGCACGTAGAAGTAATGCTGGTAATTGGACACCTAATCATTTCGTACCACTTTTACTTCCGTCGAGCGAATCTCAGAATAAAAATAATCTGACTGAACCGAAAGCCACTGGTTCAGGATTGGTGAGTCCAATCTTTTAGTTCAGAACTTTTTACATAAAAAAAACACACTTTCACTTACAGACACCAACTAAATCAACAACGAAGAATAACGTACTAACTCAAATTCGTATTCCTGAATTTAATGCAGAGGATGACGAAATTCAACAATTTCAAACATTATCGGCCTCTTCCACGGTAAGCCAGGAAACCGCAACAACTCCTCGAACTAAACGAAGACTACAAGCAAAAGAGACTTACACGAGCGTGGAGAACACGAATATTGACAAGGGACGATTACAAGCTTGTCAAAGGATGGCTGCTAAACGAACTCAAGCTACACCGGAGGAAGCTGAAAGACAGCGGATGCTTGCAAGGAAAAGAAGCGCAGCTAGTAGAGCTGCTTTAACACCAGAACAAGTTGAATACGACCGAAGTGTGGCTCGAGACAGAAGCGCAGCTAGAAGATCTGCTTTAACATTGGAAGAAATGGAAAAGCAACGAGAGCAAACTCGTGAGAAGGTAGCAGCATGGAGAGCTACTCTTACACAGAAGGAAATCCAACTACAACGAACACTTGCTACTGAACGAACTATGAGTAAACGAGCTGCAGCATCACCAAAAGAAACCGAGGAACAGCACGTAGTAGCTCGCAAAAGAAGTGCCGCAAGACGAACTGCTTACACATCTGATGAACTCGAACAGCAGCGCGCATTTGCTCATCAGAGATAGCAGCTTCGAAAAAATGACAAACACCAACAAGAAAGTAATGACTTTGAATGGCCAAAACCTATTGATATTGAACGTAAGAAAAACTGTCTAAAGAACTCTATTCAACATATGTCGATGAGTTCTCTGCAACAAAGTGTTTGCGGTATTTGTAACGTTCGTTGCTATAAACGTGATCTCCGCCACATACCGTTCAGTAAAATACCGTCTATTGAATTATTGACAGTACCCGATGATTTTTATGGCATAATTCAGGAAATGCAGCCATTCCAGTCACATGATAATCTTAACATGAGTGATGACCTTGCCGTGGCTTTGATTCAGACAGAAAAAGCAGGAGGTTGGTCTTGCTAATACGTAAATTAACATAGTAAATAATCTTTCTTTTCATTTCAGATACAAAGGCTCAATCAACAATGACTAAAAAGTCGTTTATTTGTGTAAATGGTATCGTTTTTTATACAGCAGGATTGCATAAAACTATTGAGAGAAAAAAACGATATTCAGTTCATTGTGACATTTTTTCCGAGTATTGGTCGTCTCTAATAAAAGACAAAACACCGAAATTTTCGCCTGCCAACAAAATATGGGTTGAAGATGTTCCAGAAGAACGACAAGGACTAACAATTTCTGAGCAAAACCTGATCGCTCTTTATAGGTACAATGGCTGCATTGTCAAGTTACTTTCGTCTTTTCATTCGACAAGTACAGCTCAGTCAGCTTTAAAGGGGAGTTGCATAAGTTTTCCCCAAGATGTTATTAACTTAGCTACTACCTTACCACTAGATGTAGATGATCTCTGTGATTCTCTAAAGATAATCTTTGTTGGACGTCGTCCTCAGCAACGAAACCAATTAAAAAATGTTTTGACCGTTCGAAAAAAGAACGTTTTTGAAGCACTTCAATGGCTTAAACAGAATAAACCTCTATATCGTAATGTTACAATCAATCAATCAATAATCAACAAATTACTTGACGATGATGTACCAGAGTGTTTGTGGGCAACCATGGAAATTTCTACAAATTTAGAACCAGCTGAAAATGAAAGAGCAAGTTACATTCCTGATCCGTTAATCAATGCATCTCAGTTTAAGAATACAACAGCTATACCCATAATATCAAGGTAGGAAAAATAGACAATTTGATATTTTTGTACTGATACTGTTTATGTTATAGTGCTGTGTTAGACGTCAATTCTATCAAAGTGTCATCTGACGAAATCGCTGAACATCTTTCAGAACGAATCAAAGCACAAGCGTCAGAAAAAACATACGGAAAAGACACCGAGAAAAACTCTATAAAAGACATTGCTTATATAATTCCTCGTGGCAACAAACCGGCTAGTGAATATTCTAATCCAAATCAATCATTAAGAATATTTTCCACACTATTTCCATATGGATGTGGTGGGCTTGAGGATGGTTCTCGATCGATTCAAATCAATTTTCGTGAGCATCTCAGATAGAGTCGTATGGGGTAATTCGGATCAAAATTTCAAAAATTGATTTTGTTTTGTTTCATTCTCCTCCGTTTTACACGATAGAAAGGTGATTTTTTTATCACAACTAGATCAAAGTGTTTTC